GCAAAGTCAATGTTTCTATGTGTTATAAAGAGCAAACCCTTTTTTTCTTAAACAAAGCAGGCTGCAGTACTACGAAGTCATCAAACCACAGTGCGGCACATACCAAGGACGGAAAGCTTGGCTTGTTTTTCTACTCGGCTGAGCAAAGAGGCTGGAGAGGGGGGCACAAGCCTCTTACCGCCCATCTCTAAGGGAAGAGGCCAAGCTCTGCTCTCCACACGTGCAATGGAGCAAATAATCTCCCTCCACCCAAAACATTTTTCTACAAACCAGCACTTTAGGCAAGCTTACTGATTCTGCAGCAAAGACAGCTAGTATTTGGGCACCAGTGAAGAAAGCCTTCCATTCCTTTCATTCTAGGTTAAGCTGAAAGAAAAAAGCTTGCAAAGGACCACATAATATACTGTACTATGCCATGTCCTGCCAAATGACCTCACCTAATGGTTTTATCTGCTGCTGATATTTAAAAGGAGCAGCAACGAACCTTGGTCACTCAGACCATGCTATTCATGTCCTTACACAGTGCTTGGAGGCTGTGAATTTCGGGATATGGAAGAACGGGGTCTACTTCAACACTAATTCTCAGTGGGGTAAGGGCTTCCCGAGAGACAGCTGGTATGCAATTTGGGTTCCCTCTGGACTCACAACTGTTGCTCAAGGAGTGGCTGATAACTGGCTAGTGGGCTTTGTACAGATCCATCATCTGCATCAACTGTGCCCACTCCTGGACTGAGGGTTTGCTCACAGTCCGTCACAACTTGGTCCCTTCGCAGTTGGATTGATGTAATGGTCCCTACAGCTAGTCTTCTTTCAGCCACCATGCTGCACAAGCTTTTTGGTTTTTTCTTAGGTGCAATACAAAGTGCTGGTTATCACTTTTCAAGCCACGAATAGACAGAGCCAGGAACTTGCAAGAAGGCCTCTCTCTGAGGGTACATGCCCATCTGACCAAGCCAGATAAAGTGGGTGCCTCCAGGTCCCCTCACTTAGATGTTGACACCCAATGAGACTTAGTTAGCACACCTTTTCCAAAGCTGTCCCTGCCCTGTGAAAGAGGATTTTCTATGAGATCCAGAATCCTCCTCCCATCCCCTTATTGGGTGATAAGGACACCGCAAGCAGCGGGTTCTTCCCTCAATACATGGGGGGGGGGTAGGTTGAGACTAGAGTCCAGAAGCTATGGGGGAGAGAATGGTTTTGCGGGTATGTGTATTTATTTATTTATTATTATTTATTTATTATTTAAATTTATATACCGCCCTATCTCCCTTACGGGACTCAGGGCGGTGAACAGGCAATAATAAAAATCACAGTAAGTATTACATAAAAGCCTGCTCTAAAATATGAAACCCCTAACAAAACCCAATCAAAACTACGCCAGGCCGGCCGCATGGAACAGATGAGTTTTTAGGGCTCGGCGGAAGAGGCGCAGGTCTGCAATTGTACGTAGGTCGGGGGGCAGGTCATTCCAGAGGGCAGGAGCTGCCACAGAGAAGGCTCTCCCCCTGGGGGTCGCCCATGTGTATGGTTTGTGGTTACTATCATTTTGTTTTTTATATTTTATTGTTATGCACTGACCCGCCCAGGGATTTTGTATATAAGATGGGTGTCCATATCAGTCTCTGAAATAAAAAGGTATCACTACTGTGTAATCTCCTGTCCAACAACAAAATCAAACTGATCCCAATAAATGAGGAATTTGCATTTGCTCTTTGTCTGGGAAGGGGAATAAATCTGAGTTTGTGCAGAACAGAAGAAGATGAATGAAGGCAGTTGGGAACTCCTGGGACTTCGCTGCATTCAGATAGTTCTTCCTTACCTGTGATGTGACTTGAGTTAGATCCTCCATGGAGATTCCCTCCAACAGGGTGAGTGTTAAGAGGAACCGTGCAGATTGCCTCTTGCCTTGGAGATTGTCTCCATGGCAGACTCTTCACCTGGAAGCAAAAAAAAGGGGAAGTTAGAAGGCAGCACACATTAAGGACTGAATTCTCACTCTGCTGCCATTTTGCCAGCTGTGAGTAATCTGGGAGAAGAGAAATTATCTGGGCAAAGCAAAGGAATGATTACCTATAGGGGAAGAGAGAACTTTTCTTTGTATTCTTAGACTCAGAAAAAATAACAATTGATAAACTATTATCACCTGTTCAAAATTCTATCACCTTCATTTCCTTGTATTATTTCTGGCTCCAGAAAAATTCTTCTGCTAGGGACACCATCTACCGGTAGGACCAGATCTCTGCTCCACATTCTTGAATTCAGCTCTGCATCTCCAGGGACAGAATGGCCAGGAACTGCTACAG